CAAATAGCAGGGTGGTGGTGTGGGTTTCCCAGCACATCCATTCTGGGTTTGGCGTTGGCTGAGGCGCAGCTGGTCCTGAATCCCTCCTGTTTTGCTCTGGCAGAAATCCGACCCGGTGGTGTCGTACCGGGAGACGGTCAGCGAGGAGTCCTCAGTCCTCTGCCTCTCAAAGTCCCCCAACAAGCACAACCGCCTGTACATGAAGGCCCGGCCCTTCCCCGACGGCCTGGCCGAGGACATCGACAAGGGCGACGTCTCCGCCCGCCAGGAGCTGAAGCAGCGCGCCCGCTACCTGGCCGAGAAGTACGAGTGGGACGTGGCCGAGGCCCGCAAGATCTGGTGCTTCGGTCCCGACGGCACTGGGCCCAACATCTTGACGGACATCACCAAGGGAGTCCAGTACCTCAACGAGATTAAGGACAGCGTGGTGGCTGCCTTCCAGTGGGCCACCAAGGAGGTAAGGCAGGGGAGAGGGCTGTGGGGCGGTGGCTCCTGTGGCGGAAGGGGGGGGATGAGGCTTGCTGTTTTTTTAAAAAAACCCACTCCCGTACCTTCCCCCCCCCTTAAAGGGCGCCCTCTGCGAGGAGAACATGCGGGCCGTGCGGGTGGACGTCCACGATGTGACCCTCCACGCTGACGCCATCCACCGTGGCGGCAGCCAGATCATCCCCACCGCCCGGAAGTGTTTCTACGCCTGCATGCTGACCGCCCAGCCCCGACTCATGGAGCCCATCTACCTCGTGGAGATCCAGGTGAGGGAAGGCTTTTTTTTAAGGGCAAAGGGGTGGGGAGTTAGGGTTCAGCTGGCACTGGCCCTTCAGCCCTTCTCCACCTGATTCGTCCCCTCGCTCACGCCTCGTCTTCCTTTCTCGCCCAGTGCCCAGAGCAGGTGGTGGGTGGCATCTACAGCGTCTTGAACAAGAAACGGGGCCACGTCTTCGAAGAATCTCAGGTGGCCGGCACCCCCATGTTCGTGGTCAAGGCCTACCTCCCGGTCAATGAATCTTTTGGTACGTGTCGTTTCAGTTCAGAGAGTGGCTCTTCCTGTGTGAGTTTCCAGAGGGTCCGTAAGACCTGCTCGGAACATTTATTAGGGTCTTTTCCTAGTGTGTTTTCAATGTTTACTTCGGTTTCATCATTCAGTTGCATTTTAATTAGTGCATCGTTTTAATGTTGAACTCGTTGTGCTTTTAAATTGTTGTTTTTCATATTGTGAGCCGCCTCGGGTCCCCTTATCTGGAGAAAGGCGTTGTATAAATAAAACAAGTAAATAGGATGGTTGTCTTGCTTTGCTGGGAAGGCAAGTGGAGGGGTTTACGGCTTTGTTTATTTAACCTCGATCTCTTACCGTTTGGGGCTTCCTTTTGTAAAGCGTGCCTTTCTTCTCTGTGTAGGTTTCACCGCCGATTTGAGATCCAACACGGGGGGCCAAGCGTTCCCCCAGTGCGTCTTTGACCACTGGCAGATCCTCCCCGGAGACCCCTTCGACAGTGCCAGCCGGCCTTCTCAAGTGGTTGCCGAGACCCGCAAGCGGAAAGGGCTCAAGGAGGGCATTCCCGCCTTAGATAACTTCCTGGACAAATTGTAAAAAACCCGATGCAGAGAAATGAAAAATTATGAACACAAAATAAAATGCAACACATCAGGTCTTGGAAAAAAAGAATAAATTTTAAAAATGGCTCTTTGTCGGGACTCCAGATTGAATTGGTGTAGTAGCACGGACATCTTGGGTGTGGGCCCAAGCTGGGGGTTGGGGGTTGGAGAGCCCTGGGGCTGCCTCCTTGTGCGATTGATTTCAGCGCTGATGAAATAGATCCGTTAACAAGGAAGCGGCCTTTGCCAGCCTTAACGGTGTTCTAGTGGGCTGTCTCTCATTCATGGCCATCGCAACCCCGTTGTGCTCTTCCAGAGGGTGCAACCGAGGGATCAACCACCTCACTATTTATTCAGCCCAGGTGGCAACTAGGGAGAAAAAAAACCCATGATAATTTTTTCCCTTCCTTGATGGGAGCCACTTAGGAGGAAAAACAGAAGGGGGTTGTGTAGGGTTGATCTGTGGAATTCATTCCGTGTTCCAGAAAAACTGTGCACACAATCTGGAAGTTTTAAGGAGAAGGAGGAACGAGGATGCCGGCCCTTCCTTGGGGAGAAGAGAGAAAAGTGTTTAAACTTTTTTTCTAGTTTAAAATAATTAGGAGGGGCTTCCACAGTGTGGTGAATGGGGCACGGGTGCGAATCATTGTATCGGTAATCACTGGAATAATAAATTTCATAAGGCGATGGATTGAGTTTACTGTTTGTCTCCAACATCTGGTGAGCCTACGGATGATTTTTAAAAGCCGGGGTCATTTCTGCTCTGAGCCAGATACACAGTCCCCAGGTACTGTAGTTGGGGTCCCGATATTCTTGTTTTTTAAAAAATGTGCGGTGGGGGGGTTGCTGCTAGTAAGTCGGTTGAGACTCCAAACCCTTTGTGAATCCACCAAGTTTCTCCGGTTTTCTTGTCTGCCCCCACCCCCTGCTGCAGAAAAGGGGGGGGTGCTTGAGTTTCTCACCCTGTCCATGTACCTAAAAGTGGTTCTCAGCCCCTCTTAAGGGTCAACAAGGCAAAACAGAAGAGAGGCAGCCACTGGGGTGAAATTTCAGTGGGTCCCTGCTGAGTCACTCATCTTGGCTGCCTGAAAATAATTTTAAAAAAACCCAGAAATACAATACAATACAGTACTGTATTGGGTTGTATTTCCAGGGTGTATTTGCCAGCACCGGCCACTTGATGGAGTCAGAGACCTTGCAATGAATGGCGTTCTATCGGTTTTTCAGCATTCGTGGGTTTGGGAAACCAATTCCCTGTTTATACTGTCCGTCTGCTGTATATAAAGAATTCAGAGTGTTTTATTCGCGTTCCCTCTTAAATTGAAAAAAAGAACCACGGTTATTTTACGGGTGTTCATTTTAAAAAAATCACTGATTTGCAAACAGGGACTCCTGGTCCAAGCCAAATGCCAAGGAAAAAAAGTTTCATTTAAAAAAAAAAGTCATTGTAGGTCCCGGGAATCCTGCGACCTAAGGAGAGCCTGGAGTTCTGGAGATCATGGGGAAAAACGACAAGCTAAGGTGGATATTCTGAGCGTTGTATTTTTTTTTTTTTTAAAGGGGGGGAGCGAACCTCTCCGGTCCTTCCTGCAATTTTATATGTATATGATTCAGTAAATAGGATACCGCGGGAAAGATCGTCGTAGGGTCCCTGACTTCCAGTTTACCATTTTAAACGAAGAAATGACATTTCATTTATATAGATGAATAATGATCAATATATAATATAAAGCAAATCAGTGTTAAATGAACCATATCAATACATTTTTTTAAAAAAAAAATGAGCTGTGGGGGCAAAGGACAGCGTGGCAGCAGTAACTGTATCCAATAAAGCCAGAGGATGCCTTCAGAGACATATATCTGAATAAATGGAGATCTTATTGCTAAAAGAGGAGGAGCAGTAGGGGGAGAGGAAAGCCAGAGGTGAGAGGGATCCACTCCCTAAACACATGGACGGATCGATGCATATAATGGATTTATTATATGTTATAAATTAGGTTGGTCACGTGCTGGGGAAGCCATTTCCCCTGCGCGAACCGCCTGCCCTCGATTGCCAAAGGTTCACGGAGTGCCTCCCTCTCCCCTCTGGCTTTACCTCTCATCCTGGCGCCTCCGCTTTGATCAATTAGATCTCCATTCCTTCCTTCGGAAAGAAAAACATTAATTAATTAAAAAACAATTAAGTGGGCTGCCCTAAGAGAAAAAAAAAGGAGGTGTAAAAAAAGTCCAATTTTTAGGAACGGGAGAAAGGAACGTGTGTGGGGGGAGTGAGCGGCGGGTGACGTCATCCACCTGGGAGAAAGAGGAGGAGGAGGAGGAGCGGAGGGAAGAAGGGGGCGGAGACAGAACCCCCTCACGGGGCAGGTGACGTCACCTCCGCGCCTTAGCCAATGGGGAACGAGCTCGGTGGCCACAGTGTTGGAATGCGGGGAGCCGCAGCAGCAGCCGCGTTTTTCCGCTCCCCCCGCCCGCGCTCGCTCCCGCCGTTATTATTATTATTTGGTGCACTTGGGAGAGGAGGACTTCCACGGGCAGAAAATACAATGTGGGACCAAAAAGTATATTGGGGCAGATTTTAGGGAAATTCAGTGGTGGGCCTTGCAACACATTGTCCACCCTTTGGTATAGACATTACTGAATTAGATGGACCAACTCTTTGTCCCAGCTCAAGATCTATAAAAGGTAAAGGTTTCCCTTGACGTTTTTTAGTCCAGTCATGTTCGACTCTAGGGGGCGGTGCTCATCCCGTTTTTCAAGTCGTAGAGCCATCGCTTGTCCGAAGACAGTTTCCATTGTCACGTGGTCAGCATGACTAGGGATTGGAGGGGGGGAGACCTGGAGGTAAGTTGTGGGGACGGGGCGGATTAGAAAGTTTTTTTTTTGAGCAGGAAAAAGGCAGCTGTCAAGCTTTTCCTTCCCAGACTACAAAGCCCCAAATCCACCACCCCTCCCTGACAGCTAGTGTGGTGCCTGGGCGGCTTCACACTCTTGGACTCCAGCTCCCATCATCCCCAGAACTGGGGTCCAGGCTTTGGACTTGATATTGGAGGGGGGTTTCATACACTCCTCCCAAATCCATAATTAATTCTCTTTCCCTGATTTGTTTTCCACAAACACACATCGTGTTAAGGGCTGCTTTTTAAAAAGATTTCTGAAGAGGGGAAAGAGAGAGAGAAAAGTTATAAATGTATATATAAAATAAACCAACCAAAGGGAAAGAAGAGAGAACAGAAAAAGAAAAAGGGATAGCTTTTTTTATTTAAAACCTTTTTAATCCCACCTTTCTCCTTAAAAAAAAAAAGAACCCCAGGCTGCTAGTTATGGGTTTATATATATGTATATGTATATATGTATACATACACATACATATACACACACAGTATATATCTTTTTAGGCCAACTAACTCAGGATGTTTGAAGGAAGGAACAAAGAAAAGGGGGACCCGTTGGCTATGAATGTTTATGAAGGAGGCAATCATTGGCTGACCCTTTGTTCCGTTCACAGCAACACAAGCCCGAAGGGGGGCGAATCGCGTCCAGTGCCAGGGACCATGGCCACCTTCCGCCAAGAAAACGTGGAAGACCACTACGAGATGAAAGAGGAGCTGGGCAGGTGATTTGGGGACACACTTTTTGGGGAGGGGGTCCAGCACGTGGCAGGGGCACCCGGGGCCAAAACTAAGGGGTGACACATTGGAGGTTTAAACTCACCTCCCAGATTTTTTTTTAAAGGGGCACCAAAAGAAGCCGATTCTTGCCAACGAAGTGGCTCTCTTTATTTATTTCAATTATTTATACTTCTGCTTTCTCCTTAAAAAGGAACCCGAGGCAGGTGTCTTAAAAGGACAATATTTAAAAGCCAGGAGCAATAAGTGAATAGAGATTTAGAAAAAAATTATTAAACAAGTATCGTATTTAAAATGGGGAATAAAATCAATGGCCACACCCAGGAATGCTGTGACATTCTTGGTCTGAATCACGGATACCTTTCCCCGGAGCATTTCCTGTCTGACTAATTTGGCTCCAGCCTATCTTCTGAGCAAGCAAACAGGCTTGTGAGGCCAAAAAATAAAATAAAAAACCATAGATGGAGGAGGGAGGAAAAAAGCACCCTAAATATTTGGGATCTATGCCTTACAAAAGAATTTTGAATATTCTCTTTTTTTTCTCCTTGAAGCGAAATGCAAAATTCTGAGCCAGCGTTATTGCAAATTTTGCTTTATGGGGTTTTAAGCTTCTTGTCGAGGCAGAGAGGGTTCCCTTTTTTTATCTCCTCTTATGTTACGGCTGAAATCTTAAGAATACTGTATGCTCATTGCGGGTGACGGAGAGCCACAATTCAAGGACCCTGATGGTTTCCTCTTGATCAGTCTGAATTTATCACACTGAGAACAAACTGGAAAAAAAAAAGGATTTTCCTCCTCTAATTTACTTGCGTGTCAGTTTTAGCCTGTTTCACCTTCCTTAAAACAGAGTTCCCCCTTCATTACAAATGGAACAGAGAACTGTTTTGTGTTAGTTTGCTAATTGGGGTTTTAAAACTCTGCTTTGAGATCCAGATTAGTAAGATAATTAAGCCAGAAGTCTGACCCTTTGGGAAGGTAACGTAGATTTCTAGTTTAAACACACTGAGAAGCCACAAAACAGGCCATCAGTGGTGAAAGCAAAGGATCCTTTTGACTTAAAATCAAATTATTCACTAGGAAAAGAGTCTTGAGGTAACTTAGAATTCCATGGCGTAAACTTTCCCAGTTTGCAGCTCACTTCCTCTAATGCAACACAAGTGGTGAAATAAAATGTTTTGTCATCCAGACACCACGAAGATCCTTCTGTCATTTCTGCTACAACAGTCTGAACGCTCACAATTTATAAACCAGGGTCTTTAAACCAAGGTTTGATCCAGGTCTGTTTAAAACCAACGCTTAGTCGGAATTCCCTGTTGGGCTGAACTCTGTTTTTTGAACCGACCGATGCTGGGGTTTAAAAGGGGCTTAGAAAAAAAAGCCAGGAAGGGGGCCAACGAGGGAACAGTAAACTGTATAGCCTAATATGGAAAGCCGGCAGTGTGCCGGCATGATCTCAGCTGTAAAAAATGTAAATAACTAGCCTTCCCTACATGGCCAAAAGTCTGCGGCTTTATTAAAAGGGGACGAAAGGGAGCGTCATCTCCTTTTAACTTCTGCCTCTGTTTGGGAGCGCTCCAAAATAATTTACGGGGTGGGTGAATGGGTTTCTGGAGCAGTTCCCCCCCCCTCTGGGCTAGGTTCCCCCCACCCCCAGTGCTTTCACTGCCATAATACCAGGAGTTGCTCTGCTTGCACCATGGAGGATGATAGCATCAGGAATGCGGTAGTCCCAGCAAATCCGAAGGAGGAACCTGACCCGTGGGAGCTTGTAGAGTTCCCACAGAAGCTGTTTAACTGACCAGAAGCGCTCAGACGGACAGCTGCCAATCTTGCTGGAAAGCCAGGAAAAGAAGGGCCTCTCGAGGTCCCCAAAAGAACAAGCTTTTCCAAACTCCTAAAATAAAAATATAATCTTTTTACTTTTGCCTGTGTAATAGATGATAGGTCGGGGTATATACAGGAAACGACTTTTGACAAATAGGTTTCATCTAAAAATGATCAAAGCCTTTTAAGTATCTGAGAGAATATTATGGGTACCTGGGAAGCACTGTATGCATTGTCAAGACGAACCAAACTTTAGAAAAAAGTATTTGGGCCTATTCCACCGGCTCCATTCAGCAGTCACTGTTCAGTGGATGGCTCCCCTTCTTGCCATTTTATCTTCAGAACAATCCTGGGAAGTATTAGATCAGGTTCAAGAGACTGAGAGAGAAAAGCCTGAGGTCACCCAGTGAGTTTCATAGTTCGCTGGAGACTAGGCGCTGAACCTCCTGCATCCCTGTCTGCTGATTTGGAAGTCCCTGGCTCCATCAGGTCCCCTGGGAATATTTCTTTCTTAGTTAAACCACAGCTTGGGAAAGTTACTCCTGAAGATGGCAGCTTTGAAACCCCATCTCCCCTTTCTCTCTCAAGTGGCATGCCCAGCAGCCCTGCAGGATTGGGGGAATGATGGGTGTTTGAATCCAACAGCTCCGTTCCCTGGCTTGGCGACGAGACAGCCGCTTTGCTAAATTATTTGCCAGAGGCCCTTTGTCTGAAATAAGGCCCATTCAGATGAACTTGCCCACTCTTCTAATGGGACCATCCACCCCAATAATGGGTGAGGGGTTTTCTTGCTGGTTTTGGCACCCTGTGTGGGTGGAAGGACCTCTTATTAGTGCAGAGGTCAACTCAACCTTTCTTGAGGTTCCAGGAAGAATGTTACAGCCTTTAGGGGGGGAGTGTATACAATAGGACCCCTGTATCCACAGGAGGTTGGTTGCGAACTCCCTGTGGATGCTGAAAACCACAGATAACAGCAAACCCTATTAATATCATGGTAAAAGGGGAAAAATCCTATTTTCACATGCATTACCATAACTGACCTCTAGAGGGAGCCAAAGACTGTTCTATGTGTCCCTCAATAACAAGAATTCATAGCATGGTCTCTGGCTCCCTCTGTTGCTAGTTTGTGGTAGTACATGTGAAAATATTTTTTCTGGGTTTTTCTTTTCATATTTTTAATATTTTTAGAATGTGGATAAGTGGCACTGTGGATACTGATACTGCAGATACGAGCCTCTGACTTTAAAGCATTTTAAATCTTATAGTCGGAACAGAGGCACACCTCAACTGTTTTTTAACCCCTCCTCCTCTCACCCCAGTGGCCAGTTTGCAATCGTGCGGAAATGCCGAGAGAAGAAGACGGACCTGGAATACGCGGCCAAGTTCATCAAGAAACGTCGACTCTCTTCCAGCCGCCGCGGGGTGAGCCGGGAGGAGATTGAGCGGGAGGTAAACATCTTGCGGGAGATCCAGCACCCCAACATCATCACCCTCCACGACATCTTCGAGAACAAAACGGATGTGGTCCTGATCCTGGAGCTGGTGTCCGGCGGGGAGCTCTTTGACTTCCTGGCTGAGAAGGAGTCGCTGACCGAGGAGGAGGCCACCCAGTTCCTCAAACAGATCCTGGACGGGGTCCACTACCTTCATTCCAGACGCATCGCCCATTTCGACCTCAAGGTGAGACACACACACACACACATTCACTCACACAGAAAGAGAGAGAGAGAGGGAGAGAGACAGTGATGTGGGAGATCTGAGCAGCTGCTGCTTTTGTGTGAACCAAGGTGGTTGGAAATCAGATTGTATATCACTGGGAGTATATTGTTCCATTCATTCATTCATTCATTCATTGGCTGGTGCTCTCCCCATAAGGGGAACTCAGGGCAGCTCACCATGTTAAAAAAATTAGAGAATTAAAAAGACAATGAATTATAAATAAAGCAAAGAACCTATAATATAGTAGGACAACCATATCTGTGATATCCGTATCTGCGGTTTCACTTATCTGCTACCTGAAAATATTAAATTAAAACACCCAGAAATATGGTTTTCCAAGATGTGTTACCAGAACTAGAAAGAACCAGAGACTGTGCTATATCTATAGGGTTTGGTATATCCATGGGTTTTCAGCATCCACGGGGGGGCCGGGGCTTGGAGCCGTTCTCCCCCAAATATTCAGTCCTATTGTAGTAATCAATATATTTTGAATGATTAAAAACATTTAAAACTTCAAAAACAAACTTAACTAAAGGGAGAGGGAAAATGCCACCGTTGTAATGGTTGAAAAGGGCTGCCGGCCAGGAATTTGCCCGTTTGCTGAGCTCAGAGGTCATAACTCAACCCCCTTTCCCCCCTTCCTTTCAGCCCGAAAACATCATGCTGCTAGACAAAAACGTCCCCAGCCCTCGCATCAAGCTGATCGACTTCGGCATTGCACACAAAATTGAATCGGGGAGTGAGTTTAAGAACATCTTCGGCACCCCAGAGTTTGTAGGTATGTGCGGGAAAGAGCAGTCCAGAAAGCTGAGAGATTGAAACCCCCCCCAAGAGGAAACGGGTGTGGTAGGGCGTGTGGATGGCTTGGTCACTGAAACACCTTTTCTCTCCCCCCCTTTTTTTCTCTTTTTCTCTAAAGCTCCCGAAATCGTCAACTACGAGCCTTTGGGCTTGGAGGCCGACATGTGGTGAGCGAAGTGGGATCTGCCGAATTTAACAGGCATCAGAAAAGGCAAAAGGCCTGCAAGGGGTTACCGTAGGAGAGCTGAGAAAAGTAACGTAGCGGTTCCTAAGAACCACAGAAAGCCTCATGGCCTCTTAAGGGCTGATCAGCTGGCGTGTGCGCATGAATGTGCATGGATCGGAGCCCACGTACGGAGTTCAGGCAGCCTTCTGTGCCCCTAGGTTGGGGGAGGGGGGTGGCACATGGGCCACGCCAGGCATGACCACGAAGCCCCACCTCAGGCGTGGTGCTAGGGGCCATGGCGGCAAAGGAACAAATATCAGGATGAGTTAGGGCTAGGGTTTCTGGGGGAAGCAGGGGCTCCTCTCCCAAAGTCTTGACCCCTCTGCCTTTTCCCCCCCTCAACAGGAGCATCGGTGTCATCACGTACATCCTGTGAGTACTTCTGAATCAGAATATTTTCAGCCTTGTGTGTCTGGGTGCCAAGAACACACATTTTATGTTTCAGGGCTGGTGATTTTCTCACTTAACAGATAAATAATGGTTCGCTTGTTGGTTTAGAGTAGAAGTTCTTGATCTTGAGCCCCTCCAAAGGTTTGGGGTTTCCAGAATTCTTTCTTGCCCCAGTGAGCTTAGAAGCCCAGTTTCCGGAAAGATCATTTTCTCTCCTAGAAGCTCACCCAAGCCTTCAGAGGCCCTCCTCTGCATCCTCTCACCAAGTAAAGCCAGAAAAATGTCCCAACTAGACAAAAAGCATCTATTAGTTTATTTACTTGTTTAAAATATTTCTATCCTGCATTTCTCCTTGAAAAAGACCAAAGGTGACTTGTATCATTAAAAGGCCAATATTAAAGCCAATAATAGTGAGGATACAAACACTAAAAAAGATCAAATGAATAGTCTACAAAAAACATAAGCCACACCAAAAAACAAGCAACACAGTAAAGTACAACAAGTTATTTAAAAAAATACTTCTCAGGCAACCAGTCCTTAAGGAAAAGCTTGCCTGAAGAGAAAGGTCTTTGCCTGCTTGTGGAAGGATAGCCAAGAGGGGGCCAGCCTGGCCTCCTGTGGGAGGGAGTTCCAGAGACCGAGAGAATCCACAGAGAAAGCCATGCCATATTTTGTCCGTCCCCCCCACCAAACACGCCTGTGAAGATGGTGGGACCGAGAGAAAGGCCTCCCCTGATGATCTTAATGCCCTGGCAGGCTGATAGAGGGAGATGCTGGGACCCAAATCGATTAGGGCTTTATAGGTCAGAACCAACAATTTTTCCTCCCAGTCTAGTGTGTTCTGTATCCCTTTTTGCAGCGCCAAAGCCCAAACTTCTCAGGGCTGCTCAGACTCTGAATTGTGGTTTTAAATTGACCATTCCCTTCCCCTTTTTTGGGGGGGTCCTTCTACCCCCCAGCTTAAGCGGCGCGTCCCCCTTCTTGGGCGAAACGAAGCAGGAGACCTTGACCAACATCTCTGCTGTCAACTACGACTTTGACGAGGAGTACTTCGGCAACACCAGTGAGCTGGCCAAGGATTTTATCCGCCGCCTTCTTGTCAAGGATCCCAAGTAAGAGACTCAAGGAGAAAGGTCGGGCTTGTCCTTAGGATCTTCCGAGAGTCTTGAAATGCCCCATTGTGGCCCCCGAGCTGTTGGTGGAGGCCCGAGTTTGTTTGTTTGTTTGTTTTGTTTTGTTTAATTTATATGCCACCCACACTACCCAAAGGTCTCTTCAGCGTCTCCAGGGCTGGTTGCCACACCCCCTGCGGGAAAAAACGTACTTAATTGTTGTTTTTTTCTGAATAAAACTGGGAGTCACCCAAAGTTCGCTTCTGGTTCCCAATAGAAATGGAAATGGAGGAGTTTTAAAAAGCAGAGAATTTCCCCTCCATAGATACTAAAAGCAAAATGCTGTACATGCCTTTAGAGAAACGTTCTATTTCTGGGAACCCCAGAAAAGTGTTTTGGCTTGGGAGGGTTTTTCAGGTCCTGCAGCCAGTGTGCGTCACCCACAATCTCTCCGTTAAGCCCTCCCAGTCCATACTGGGACCATTCCTGTTCTGATCTCACCTGTCTGTGGCCTGCTGTCCCTGTTCTATAAAGCAACCCATCATCCTCAAGGCTGACAGCTTCTTTTTATATATATATATATATAAATGATATATGTCATTCATTGCAGGAAACGGATGACCATCGAGCAGAGCTTGGAGCACCCGTGGATTAAGGTAAAAAGCGGAGTGTGTCAGAAAGGATTCGGGATCTTGTCCTCTCTCATGGATGCCAGAAATGCTCGTAGATCTGTTTGCGTAAGACCCGTCATGAGCTGGTATCTGCTAACTAACCTTCGGACACAAAAGGGTCCCATTGGAAGCTAGTGAGGGAGAAAGAAAGAAAGGCCCTCACTACATGGCAAGCCAGACTTTTCCTTCCGGTGGGGCTCGAATCCGCCCCAAAGCAATGCCTGGAAACGTTAAAGGGTTTGGTGTGTGGTTGAGCAAACTCTCTTCTCCGATTCCTGCCCTTTTCTTTCCCTCCCCCCCCAACTCTTTGCAGGTGATTAAGAGGAGAAATGTTCGCAACGAGGACAATGGGAAGAAGCCGGAGCGCCGGCGGCTCAAGACGACGCGCCTGAAGGAGTACACCATCAAGTCCCACTCCAGCATGCCTCCCAACAACACCTACGTCAACTTTGAGCGCTTCTCCAAGGTCATGGAGGAGGTGGCGCTGGCCGAGGAGAGCCTGAGGGCCCTGCAGCAAACCAAGAAGTCGTTCCGGGAGGACATGGAGGCCCTGAGGGCCATCTACGAGGACAAAGAGGTCTGGTACAAGGAGGAGAACGAGGCCATCGGCCAGGACCTCCGGCAAATCCGGCAGGAGATGCAGAAGACGGAGGCCCTCAAGCGGCAGACCCAGGAGGCGGCCCGGAGCGCCTCCCTGGCCGCCAATGGGCTGAAGCGGCGTTACCGGAAGCTGGAGAACCGCTACGAGGCCTTGGCCAAGCAGGTGGCGTCGGAGATGAAGTTCGTGCAGGAACTGGTCCGCTCGGTGGAGCTTGAGAAGCTGGAGGGAGGGGAAGGGGGCTGCAGCCTCCGTTAAAGCCCCCGTCAACCTCATGGAGGCCGATGCCGGTTTGCCTCGCCTTTCGTGGGGCTCCTGCTTTCATCCTGGCGCAGTGGTTTCCAAGACTCCAGAGCCCGTCATGCTGCCCGACTGCTTGGACCTCTGCACAACAGATGTGATTCTTGCGTGCTTGAATCCCACATTCTTTTTTTTCCCCCTCTCTGAAAACAGTGTGCTTATTTAAATAACTAAATAGATGGTTTCTGGTTAGAAAAGGCTAAGGGTGCTCCTTCCCTTCCCGTCGGGCTGGTGCTTTCTTGAAGATCCAAAGCTATGTCAGAAGGCTCCCCAAGGAAATATCTCCAGGTGTCCCTGACTTTTTTCTCCCCCTCTGAACGACTTTCCAGCTGCAGAAAAGAACATCAGAAGCCTGTTTCAGACATCGGTCACAACTCGCCTTCGTGGTTCTAAGTGCGGGGAAGCCATGCATTTCTGGAGATCAACGTGTCAATACGATCAGTGAGATTAAAAAAAAGAGGGCCCCATCTCCCATTCCAACCTGAAATTGGGCTTTTCGGATGAAACCTACTCTCTCTGCATCATCTTAAGCCTTAATTGCTGCTTCTTTCCCAGGGCTGAGGCTTCATGTCACACACCTCAAGAGTTGTGTGTTTTTTCCCTCGGGCTCCAGGTCCTGAAAAAGCTACAGTCAAAAAACGCCGTAGGGAACCTTCATCCCTGTTGGAGCCCTTGAGCGAAGCGTGGTGGCTTTTAGCAAGTCCTGTGTCATGAATTTTGGGGGCCAGATGAGGGCAGGAGAGTTTTCTCTGAATGTTCCTTTTAAGAAACATCAGAGAGGTGTGCCTCCGGAGCACCAGTGCCTCGCCTACATTAGGAATGCGGACAGCCAGGAAGCGTTACCCTAATAAATCCCGTTTCCAAACATTATAGGATTTTTGTCACTCTCTGGCATCCCTATTAATCAGCCCAGCGACCACCCTCCTCTTCTGAGACACCTCAAAAGCCCCAAAGGGCATTTCACACACACCCTTTTTCCCCTTCTTTCTAGCGATCCATTTCTGGAGATAGCTACACCTGCTGGTTCCTCTGATTATTCTTCCTTTAATGTCCTGTGTACCTCCTTCTGAGTTTGCGGCACCTCCTGGTCCTTCCAGCTGCTCCATTTTGACCTCTGGTCCCATCAAAGCATAACCTCTGGAGTTTACTGGTCCTGGAGCCCGGGCATCAGTTGATGCCTATATTTCAAACAGGGCTTAGGAAGGGCGCTCCGAATTATGGGAGCCTTGGTTTCTTTTCTGCTGCGCTAAGCATCAAAGAGCGGGTACCCGGTATTTCCTTTGACGACGCCTTGCTTCCTGGCTCTTCCTCATTTCCTGTCTTGAGCCGAGAATCTTTTTGCAAAATGGGAATCTTGCATCCTTCTGTTAAGCCAGGAAAACCTCTTATTTTTTAAAAAAATACTGTGTTACACGCAGCAAATAAACTTGCTGAACAACTGCTCGCCCACTGGCAGAGGAGGAAAAATTGGTAGTCGTAGGCAGCTGTCTTTTAGGTCGGCTTTCCACTCCTGGCCTTGCTGGGCAGACCCTGAAGAGTTAAAAAGGAGTGTAAGGAGTAAGAGATTTTCCTTCTGTTACTCCTATTATCTGGTTTTCCCTCTAGACACATCGTTCCTTCAAAGCTCCATGCCCAAGCGGTCACAACTGCGTCAGTGAAGTCTGTGTTTCTCTCCTAATGACTAATCACAAAGCAAAACCAAGCCTGTTTGCAACGTGCAGAGAGGAAGGCAAGCTCAGGTTGGGATAAATGGATATTTTTTTTTCCTTTTTAGCAGATCCCCGCTTCTAATGACATGTTACCTGTATCACATCATCGTGCCCAAGGATTTCCCTGGAAAAGGAAAATGGGCTGAATAAGATGGAGCCTGAATTCCTGACATTTACAATGTCTTATATATCAAAGAGTTCATTATTATGGGATTCTTAGGCTTGAGTGCAGAGCGAGCGAGCCAAAATGATGCCATTTCAACACTTGTGCATCCGAATGTACACCATGGTGCTCCTGCACTGTCTGTGCAAGCCTTTCGTGCTACCAACCCTAGCCAAGAGGGTATGAGGAGTAAGATGAACATTCATAAGGCATGAATGAACAGTGAGAGTTTGGTTGTAAACAAACCGGGGGGGGGAAGAAAAACAAATAAACAGGATAGGATTCCCAACCTGGCTCCTTTTCAAACTTGGCTGTGTTTCTCCTGCAATTGACACAAAGCCATCAGCAAACCACACCTAGGATGCTAATCCATTGTGATGTCAAACAATAATCCTACAATAATAACAATAAAACCTTTTTTTATAGCAAAATGAGAAAGTTGCTTTTTTATTCGTCCTTTCCAGTGTTAAGGATTTTTTTTAAAAAAAAGGATAGTCATTGGATATCTTTCTTGAGTTTTATTTTGTGGGAAAATAGCTGAGAAAAGTTTGGATTATTATTATTATTATTTTGGATTAGAGGTCCTGGACTCCCAGCTTCGGGGGCCAGGAGGATGGGGGGGCTGGACCCAGTGTGGTTGTGTGGTTGAAGCTTGAGTGCTAAGGAGAGGCACATACCCGGCCATGAACCTAGTCACCTTTGCACCGAGTGTGGCCTACCTCACAGGGTTGTTAAGTGGCGGAGGAAGCGAAGCCACGTATCTGTTCGGATTGGAAATCCGTCGCCTTGCCCACTCCTGTATTCAGGATAGGATGTCACTGGATCTCAGCACAGTTGCAGCACCCTTAATTCAATTCCATAACTGCTTTCTGGCAGGGAAGGCAAGCCCCAATTATGGACCGGAGACCGAGCCACTGGTGGGGGAGGAATGGCCTTCTGAAAAGGAGGAGCCATCCAGCCTTCTCCAGCCAGGCGGCATGAAAGCGCAAGCCGAGGGCCGCGTGTCTGAAAAACAGCCCCAACAAGCGGTTTTATTCCATCCCTGAGTTTCTGCCCAGCAAAACGGGTTCATCTTTTAAAGTGGCACAGAATTTCAGGAGTTTCTGTTTTCTCCCTCAGCATAAGCATGACAATTTTATTTTATTTTTAAATTTGGCCATATGTTGGGAGAAAACGTGGCAGATCCTTGCAGCTTTTCAGGACACACGGCCTTGAAGCTGATTTTGGGAAAGGATGGAAGGTCATGTGACGACCAGCAGCTTTCTTTGGGTTTTAACAAAACCCACCACGATGGCTGTTAGGAATCCATCAAGTTCCAACACCGCATCAAATCTGTTTTATTCTTTTATATATTCTAGTGTTCCATTTTAATGAGGGCTTGAGTGGCTGCAAACTCAGAGGGGAAAAAAAATAAAAATATGTGATAACTGCTTTTAATGCAAAGGTGGAAGAAGCCTATGTGTGAAAGAGTAGCCATGATACTGGAAAAAAAGATTAAACTGTGTATTGCAATGTATTCAAAAAGTCTGTGGATCTGTCTGTGGAAAGGTGGTTCAGTGTGTGCCCTCAATCCTTTGGAAAATGTCGGTTGTCATTGCTTGAACCTCCCCGGCTATTGGATGTTGCAGAAATAAAATGCTTCATGTTGTCTTCGTTGGGGGCAAAAATGAAACCTGGGGAACCTTGTTCCCCAGGGAGGAAGTTTATAGGCCCCGGGAGCTTATAGGGCCAGCCTTTTGAGCTTCCCGGGCAGCAAAGGAATGCGTTAAACCAGCTGCCCTTGGTTACTCTTCCTTGTGTGTTGGGGGGGGGGAAGGAGAATTATCCCATGGCCATTGTGTTTTCCCACCCATGGTGTGATGTGGAGTGGGATCTCTCTTTGATTTTTTCCCCCGCCCCATTTATCATGGGGCGCTGACAAGAAGATGCCCTCCTTGCCATTTTATAGGATGTCTCCAGTCTCAATCATTGCCCGGTTGCGTGTATGTGTGTGTTTGTGTTCACAGCCTTGGTTTTCTCTGCTTTTCCCAGAGGTTAGATACATGGCATTGTGTTGGATAAGGAACAGAAGATAGTGCAGGGTTGGAGGGGGAGAAAGTCACACCTGCTGGGATGTCCAGAGGGCTGGTTACTGAACAGACGCATAGTCATATCGAGTGTTGTTGGATTTGTTTTTGTTTTTTTAAGCTTTGGACGGTCTCCAGACACTTACAAGCATCAGCAAACTGCAACCCATTTTCTAGCCAGCCTGCGAGGATCATTTTAAGGGCCTTCAGGGGGTCCGGATCAGGCTTTGGCAGCTGCAGCGGCCCAAGAACCTTGCTCAGGTCTAGTTTGGGGTGGTTGTTGTGTTGTTGGGTTTTGTTTTTTGTTTTGCTCCATGTGGGAGACCATTGGGTGTCTGATCATCTTGTGATGAGAAGCCGCAAAGCCCAGCCCGAAGCTCACCAAGCCAAAACAACCGTGCAAAGAGAGGGAGGGAGAGAGAGATTTCTGGGGACTCTAAATCCCAGAATCCACAGTGGGCTTGGGGAGTTGGCGCCCCTCGGCTTGGATGAGGCTGTAACTCCAAAACCCAGCCTTCTTGAGCTCTCAAAGTCGCTGGCCAGCTGTGAGTCTGCTTTCACATTTACCCAGCCATCTACAAAATAATAGTCGGCTTGTACTCATGGGCTTTGTTCTCCTCCTGGAGGTTTTGGCCCGGAAAGGGCAACCTCGGGTGGGTGTGCCCCAGGTTGCTGTTTTTACACACCACGCGTCCTGTGGCTTTGGGATGGGGGCGGGCAGCCTTGTTGACCAAGGATCTTGGAAAGGGCCGTGGTGGCTTTTTGGGAGAGTGCTGATGCCTTCCAAGAGGAAATGTTTGGCATTCTTGACGCCGCTCCTCCTTGTGGTTGGCATGGCCCCTGTGGGATGATGCGCCAGACAGTGGCTGAGCAAAGAACGTGGCGGGTGGATGAAAAAAAGGGGGGGTGGAGAAAGAGAGAGAGGTTCTCTTGGTTTCTCCAAGCCATGTGGCCCAGTTTTGGAGGGTTGGCGAGCCATCCTGCTGGGAAGGAATGTCATTTCCGTTTCTCTGATGGATGTGAAAATAACACCCCAGTTTTCTCACTGCGGGAATCAAGTCCAGCCCTTCTCCCTCCCTCCACCACCCCCCAACCAGCTTCTGCCCGGTGGAAAACGTGGCTTTCGGGATGACAAATCCCATCAGTCCCTGGCGGCATGGAGAATGGGGGAGGATGATGGTGTTTGTTTTCCCGCCACACCTGAAAGGACACGCTCTGCTCGGCTTATGTTTTAAATTCCTTTGCTTTGTCCCAAGTTCCTCTCTGGTCCTCCTCGTCGTTGGCATGAAAGGACCCAGTTTTGGGGTTATGCCAGCTTTGGGGGGGGGGGTAAAGGGACTGCAACTGACAGGTGAAAACGAGAGGGAAAAGTGCCCAGATGTTCTGGGTGAGAATCATAGGTGTGGCAGCTGCTGGTTATTTTTTTTTATCTCTTAGGGATTGTTTTTGGGCTTGTTTGATTCTGGCATCCCAAATCTGATGGGGATTTCCTTCCCGATTCCCAGAGTTTTGCAAAAGAAATGTATTTTTCCACCTGTCCCGATGGGGCTGAGGAAGTCCAGAGTTGGAGAGAGGGGCTGGATCCACACCGGTGGAGCACACACACACCCCCACGTGAGGCACCTCCCCTAAGGAACCGCCGGATCCAGAGGATCTTGGCCCGAGCAGATTTGAACGCGGGGCTCCTCGTCTCTCCCAATGGCTGCCCCTCAGATCTGGTGCCCCCCAGATTTTCAGGGGAGACGCTGTTGTCCGGAAACCAAAGCAGCCCTATAGAGGAAGGAGGAAGCTTGCCTCGGGCCAGGTCTGGACGCTCCTCAGAAGCTGTGAACAGGAAGCAAGCAAAGAGAGAAGGTACACATTTGTCAATATCCTGCGTGTGTCCATTTTTGCATATGGCACTCTCTGTCCTGTTCTCACTTCCCTGACCTAATTTGATCCTATTAATTCACACTAAATCTGCAGAATTTAATCTCAACCCAGCCTCACCCAGTGGCTCCCTTTCCCCCATAACCTGAGATTTTCCACACCCTCCCACCTCATCTTCAGACTATTTTCCCCACTCTTTTTTTGCCTGAATATCCTAAAGGGTTCTCCCCTCGGATCCACCTGATTTGTACCTAGTAAATGTTTTTACGTTCCTATCTCTCATCGTCATCTCAGAACAGCAGATCTGGAAGGGACCCTCTGGGGGATCATCCAGTCCAGCCCCTTGCCAGGAAGGCCCAAATTCGAACTCGTGACCTCAGACCAGAGACCATAAAACCCCTGAACTATTTTTGATTGCTTGGGGAGGTATATGCAGGCGCAGGGGAGCCCTGCATTTTAAGAGCTGTGCCAGGACCAGGGCAGGAAAGAAACCCTGCAGTCCGAAAAATCCGTATCTGGTGGTTTTCCCCACTTTCATTTTTGTGGGTTTACGAGGACACGGGACCTGCTTAAAAGAGTCTCCCCATCAACCCCAATACCTTGTTATCTTGCAGTTGTGGGTGTTGACATGGGAGCCTGTGTAGGTCACATCACACCGGACGATATTGTTTGTGAAGTCCGACTCGGGCACCAGGAAGTCCGGATTGACCGTCACCTCGGGAGGGAGAAGAGAAGAACCGTCAGACTCTCCTCGCTGTGTCCTCGCTGGTTTGTTCCCCGAGAGCCGGCTTGTGGCCCTCACTCAAGAAGAAGGGAAGCTTTTCTACCCCAGGGAGAGGGGAGCTGAATCTGGCTTCAGAAAAACTCTCGGGGAGTCCACCTTCCAGTGGCAGATAGTTCTGAACGTTTAAAAAAGGGGTGAGGGAAGGACCAGCTGGCTTGGATTCCTTGAGAAGGAAAAGGAAGCACCCCGAAATATGACAAGCTGGGTGGCTGGCCACTCCAAAATAGGGTCCCCCAATTGCAACTGTTAGCCCCATGGAAGTGTGGGCCAGAAGCTGAGCTTCTCCACCACCAGCCCGCGCCAAGCTAACGGGGCGGCCACCGTGACCCAAAATTTGGGGGGACCCCAAGAATCAGCAAGGCCCTCCCATGCACTGAAGCTTGTAGGAACTCGGCCGAAATAGAAAGAAAAAGAGCAAAGTTTGGGGAAGGAAAAACCCCAGAACTATTGGTCCCAGGATTCACCCGCGAGCTGGGAGTTGTAGTTCGTCGGGGTGGAGAATGAGAATCTTTTTCAGCATCGGCTTGCAAAAGATCCCCATTTCTCCCGAGTCCACCACGTCCCTTTCCCAGTGGCCTGAATTCAGCTGAGCCCACAGCTACCTTGAGAATGTAATTCCCCGGGGCCACGTCGGTGATGTCGATCCACTGGCAATCGATGTTGGCGTGGTAGGTGTCATAACAGCCGGGACCCAGACCCTAAATGCAGGGGGAGGGGGATAAAACCACAAGAAAACAGCCCTGTTTTTTTCCATTCTTGGAGACAAGACATGGGGAAGAGTCCGAGGTGGGGAGGATTCCAGGAAACCACGTCTTTTGTGAGGGCCGGATGGCCGTCCCAAAAGCAGAAAGGTCGGTAAAAGGGGAAACGATGAAGTGATGGGGGGGGGAACAAGCTTTATTTGACACAAATAAAAACATTTGCTCAGCATGGGAAGGAGCAGCCACCTGCCAAGTAAAACTTTCTGGAGTTTTCAGGTGCCAGAACATTCCAGGGTGGTTTATTTTATTTTTATTTCCCCCCCCCTCACTGCAACAGAGAAACCCCAGTTATTCTTGGAAATTATTCCCTGTTATTTGTGTCTGTGAGCTCGGCATGAGTTATTTGAGAAATAATCTGTTGCCATGTTTCTATTTACTACCTGCGTCACATGTGTGCAGGAAAAAAACCCCACTTAGGATGGATCAGAGAAACAACAGAACTGCAAACATTGGATGCTTTTAGTCACTTAAAAAGTAACTTTTCAAAGCCAGTAGGAACGGCAACTCATGGCCTTGGCCTTTGTCCTGCCAGCCTGTCCCGTTGGCTGTGGCCAGGGATAGTCAAGCCCACCTTTTCCTCTCCCGCCACCAGCCCTCACCTGGGTGTGTGCGGTGCAGGCGTATCGCCGACGAACACCTGGGTCGCAGTTCGTGTCCTCGAGGCAGAAGCTGGCCTTGTGACCCTCGGCCACTTTTTCGTGGTTGGTGGCATTCAGCAGATCATAGTTGCTGAAGGCGTCCATGCTATGATAATGCCTGGGGGGGGGAAGAGAGGGGAACACGTTCAGACCTCCAGTGAATCTTCCTGGGGATGGGAAAAGTCCCTAGTTTTGGACTACAGCTCCCACAACCCTGGCTGGAGGATTCTGGGACTTGTAGTCTTTAAAAAGGCAACTTTTCAAGGCTGAGGACACGCAGAGAGAGACAGAGCGCACGCTGTGAGTCAGGTCAAGCGAAGAGGGAACATCTTAGAGCCCCTTCGCCTCTTATTGATTGGGATTGCCTTTAATTGATTGGAATGGCTTCCTGAAATAACTTTCTAGTCCTCATGAAGGTCGAAAGCAAGGAATTGCTTTAAAGAGAACCCCAGAAAGCGAATGCAGGCCTTGGGCGCTCCTGCCTTAGCCCAGCTGGCCCAAAGGGTATAATTTTACTCCGGAATTATTGCCTATATTTTTAATGTTTGCTTCTTGGGGCCCATGGAGTGGTCGCAATTTGAACTCAGATTTGTGCCCCCAAACAGGACAGGAAGGGGGGGGAATTAACACCCATCGAGCAGCAAGCGAAACATCACCCCCAGTGCGTGCTGCGGCTGACTTACTGGTGGCAGCTGTGCCATTCCCAGTCTCGCTGGGGCTTCACTGGGAGGAAGTCGGATGTTCCTTGGTTCTTGACCCTCTGTGGGAAGCGGAGCAGGACCCGGTAGCTGATCGGGCTGACCCCCGGCTCATAGGCGGACCTGGGGGAAGGAAAGAGGCGAAATCGTCGGATGACGTCGGCAACGTACCGTTTCCCAATTTTTATAGGAGGAGACAAAATCTACGCTGCAAGGAGAGACCCCAAGAAGCCCCGCTTCTCGAGAGATTGGGAAAATGCCCTTTGAGAGATGGGAAGCATTTGAATTTGACCTTTGGAAGGAGATAGGGAAGGTAAGACAATTCTGCTGCCCTATTTAAAATGTTCACTCAGGTGGTGGTTGTGATGGTCCCATCACGTCACCTCCAACTTTGTTGACCCTCTGAATGAGTGCTCTCCGAAATGTCCCCTCTTTCACAGCCCTGCTCAGCTCCTGAGAACTCAAACGTCGGGGTTTCCTTAATAGAGTCCATCCATCTCACCTGATGCCCTCCTCCCTTCCTGCTGCCTCCAGTTTTGTTTTGCTATCGTAGGAGGGCAGAATCAGAATGAACCTTAGTGAATAAATAACTCAAATACATCTCTATGTTTCACGTCACAGCACGGCAGCTCCCTGCTATCGCTTGCAAAAGTAAATTTTGGGCGGATCAGGTGTCCCGGTCCACCACCTGGCTGCTTTATACCAAAGCCTGCCTTTTTAGTTTTCCAAATTCTGCCCAACTTTCTCTCCCACCAAAGCATGCTACTTTTCCTGCTGTGGCCTGAAAGAAAGGCGAACCCCCATCTGGACCAACCTGGCAAGGCAGTTCTCTTCGGCCGCGCACTGCAAAGCGTAGAGCTGGACCCGCTGGAGGTAAGTGGACGATTGAATGAAATACGGATCGGGGATCAAGTCGGGCAGACCTGGGAGGGAGAGAGAGAAAACACACCAGAGTAATGGACCATTGAAAGCTCCAGACGGCTCCACGAGTTCTCCCAGAGCTCTTTCCATCTCAGGCCTGTAAAACCAGTTTGGTGCCTGGGACGCCAGTTCATAGACCAGAAAGAGAGCTGCCCATCCAGGGTGCCCCCCAAAAAATAGGCAGAGTTTCGTGGGAACTGAACGGCTGCCAAGCTTTCTTTGGTATCAGTTTTTGCCCACTGAATTGGGAAGATTCAGAGAGTTTTGTGCACCTAAATATTGAATCTATTTTCATCTTAGAACGGCAGAGCTGGAAGGGACCCCCCCTCCCCATAGATCATCCATTCTCCAGCCCCTGTCAAGGAGGCCCCGTGGGGGATTCGAACTCCCAACGGACTCGGTGCCACTGTGGAAACCCCTGGCCACCCGATGTTGCCTTGGTTGGGCTTCCAGTTGGACAGTTTTAAAAGGGGCAGATCGACAGAAGCTAATGGCTATGGGGTCCCGGGCATTGAATTCTGCCGCTCTCTCCTCTGATTCTTCACTCCCACCCCACACAGTCCCAACACACACACACACACACACACAAAGAGCAGAGCTCACCATGATGGAAGTAGTTGGTCCCGTAGCCATGCCTTTGGGGGTCACTTCGGGGTCCCGGACGCTCCCTGGCGACGGGGTAGGCATCGTAGAAGACGCTGTTCTGGCTTCCAGAGGGGTCTCCGGGGTCATCCTCGGTGGCATCTCTGGGGTTCTGGGGACCCCCTTCTCGGGGAACGGGGGTACGGAGAGGAACGGGGGTCCCCTCGGTCTCGTTGAGCCCCGGTTCCGGCTGTCCTCCTCTAGCTGCCGTGGGGGTGACCGGGGGCCTCTCCGGCCTGTTTTGGACGGCTGGTTGTCCTCCTCTAGCCGCCGTGGGGGTGACCGGGGGCCTCTCTGGCCTGTTTTGGACGGAGGTCCAGGGCCCCAAAACGTCACGCCCTCGGGGGGTCTCCCAGCCGACCTGGGGGCCCCTGACTCGGCTGGCGGGCAGGGCGCCTTCCCCGCCGGCAGGGCTGGGGGTCGTCCGCACCTCAGGGGGTGTGGTGGGGGCTCTGTGAGTGGAGG